AATAAAACTCCCTTACAAACAACAGGGGTTGCCCATTTGTTTTCATTTATTTTTAGAAAATACCTTCACTTACTCTGCAAAGCAAAACCATCTGTATTTCTAGCTGCATGACAAAAATACCTTATAAAGTTTTTGGGTTTTCTTTGGCCATTTAAAAATAAGTGGGGGATAATTGCAGGCTGAGTTATAAACTCACATATGAAATAGATAGTTCCTTGTAGCTGAGGAAATGACTGACACATGGAGTGTGTCCGGTAGTATGGAGGAAGGTACTGGGTATGCTGTAAACTGGGGAATTTCCAAGGAGAGAGAGGCCCATTGGCCCAGCAGAGGCCTTAAGAGCTTAAGTTCAGCTGCACCCCTCCTGAGCCATGTGGTTTGGGGCTAGTTTCTTAACTCCCCTATACACCAGTGGCCTCACCTGCAGTGAAGATGGTAATATTTGGCTCATAGCATGTTATTCTGAGCTTCTGGGAAATTGTGTTATCTTCTTCCCTTTCAAAATCTTCTCCTTCCTCTTCACAGTGTATACTCCCTAAGGTAGGACATCCCCAAGTCTCCCTCACTAAGCCGGAGTTTCTGTTTACTCTCTCCCTTTGTTGCCTCCCCTTCAACCATTCACACTCCAGAGCACCCTGTCTACATTTCAATCTCATGCTGTATATCTCCACAAATACAATACCAAGGCATTTTACACTCAACCAACAGAAAACCAAATTCGTTATTTCTTTCCTAAAAATCCTCATGACTTTGAAATGGTGGTTCTTTCAACTAGAGCCCCTCATTTCACAGACTCTCAAACTTCTGAGTCATCTTTAAGCTTGTTTTTCTTTTTCCTTATCTAATCAGGCACCAAATTCTGTGGACTCCTCCTCTGAAATCTCTTTGGTCAGAGCAGGATGGAAATACAAAAAAGTTTATAATAATTGTGTCAGGGCTTTATTTTTTAAATTTCTTTTATTCATATGTGCATACACTGTTTGGGTCATTTCTTCCCCTCCACCTCCTCCATTCCCCCTCCTCCCCCTCCTTCTTCCCCCTACCCCCTCGCTACCAGGCAGAAACTATTTTGCCCTTATCTCTAATTTTGTTGAAGGGAGAGTATAAGCAATAATAGGAAGGACCAAGGGTTTTTGCTAGTTGAGATAAGGATAGCTATATAGGGAGTTTACTCGCATTGCTTTCCTGTACATATGTGTTATATTCTAAATTAATTCTTCTTGAACTACCCTTTTCTCTAGTTCCTGGTCCCCTTCTCCTATTGGCCTCTGTCGCTTTAAAGTTTCCGCATTAGTTCCTTTGCACTGAGGACATCAAATGTTATCTTGGTTTTTTTTGGGTTTCTTGACTATCCTCACACCTCCCTTGTGTGCTCTCTCCCCGCCTCATCGTGTGATCAAAGTCCAAGCCCCTTGTTGCGTTTGTCAGGGCTCTTTTTGTTTGTGAAGACTAACAGGACTGTTTCTTTAATTTATCATTTTAAAAATTAAAATTAAAAAAATTTCTGTCCTCTAATCTTCACCTAACTATTGTAGGGCTAACTAAATTGGGTATTGGTTTCCTGAGTCACTGCCACTCCAGCATTTTGTACACAACTTAACCTTAACCAAATTAACCTGTCTTCCCTGCTAAAAATCTTCAAAGTACTGGGGTTTGAACCAGGATCTCATGCTTGCTATAAAGGTGCTCTACCCCTTGAACCTGCCAACCCTGTCCAAGACTTCTGGATTACAATGCTGAGGGTTCCAAATCTCTTTCCAACCTGTCTCTCTGCCTTTTCATTGCTCTACTTCACTACCCCAACCTCCCCCTAAATTCCTCTGGCATCACCTGACCTTCTCTTAATCTTTAGCTCATGCCTTCTGGCTGAATCAGCAGGTATCTAGCCGCCCCTCCCCCATCCCAGTGACATGCTCGTTTCTCTCTTTACTGAACTCCATACCACTTTGGTGCAATACATAAGTGACCAGACCAGAGTAGCACTTTCATAGTATTTATCATATAAAACCTCCTTACTAGATTACGGACTCTTGAATGCAAATATTGACACCACCATAGTACTAGGTATTAAGCACTCCCCAACTGATTAAACACTCTTTGATTTAGTCATTGGGACAAAATTGAGAGCTGTGCTCTTTTGCTCTGCCAAAATGACATACCTATTTTGTATTTTATTTCTATTTTTGACCTAAATGCATGAACATCATTTGGAGATTGGAGAGATCTATAGAGATCTTAGCTTCCAAAGCTTTTTAATCAAGGCAGAAATGAAGTGCTGAGGGAGTTAGCTGAGAACACCCCCTAAGTTTTTGGAAGCTCAAGAATGAAGACTAGGAACTACTGCTCACACCAAGTTCCAAGTCACCTCCCTAAATACTAACTTAGCATTCTTCATGTAAGACAAATCCTTGCCAACTGATCCCAATACAAAGAATATAGTGTGGCCAGGTGCCAGTGTTTCACACCTATAATCCTAGCTACTCAGGAGGCACAGATCAGAAGGATTGCAGTTCAAAACCAGCCCAAGCAAATAGTTCTTGAGACCCTGACTTGAAGAAAAACCCTTCCTTCCTAAAAAAGGGTTGGTGGAGTGGCTCAAAGTATAGGCCCTGAGTTCAAACTCCAGTACCACAAAAAAAAAAAAAAAAAAGTAGTGTGAGAAGTGCTACATTAGGGATTGAACTCACCACCTTCACCTGGAGCCATTGCACCAGCCCTTTTTTGTGGTGGGTATTTTTGAGATAGGATCTCGTGAACTATTTGCCTGGGCTGGCTTCTTTGAACTTCGATCTCCTGATCTCTGCCTCCTGAGTAGCTAGAATTACAGCTGTGAGCCACCAGTGCCCGACAGATCTCTTCTTAATTGAGTAAATGCATCATGAATTTCAGTTTTCCTTTTTTTTTTTTTCTTTCCTCTCAGAATGTTGTAATTATCTGAGGGGTTATAAGTATTACTTAAGACTTCCACCCTGTTATTTCTTGTAAAAGTTCTTTAAAAAAAACTTATTACTCAAAATGAAGCAGTTTGGAAAGTGACTGCTTAGATCTAGCATTTGGTGTAGCTAAGCTGGGTGACAGAGATAATTTTTTTGAGGCTTTACTGAGCTCATTGTTCTATCTGGATTAAAAAGCTGCGATGTTCACTTAATAAACACTTAGTTCTATCAGGTCTCACATTAACTCTTTTGATAGCCCTTTAACTGGTCTTGACCTTCAGCTCTTTTTCACCACACTTTCACATCAATGCTTCATCCCAGCAAGCACGAAGACCACCTATCTGTAACGTCATGGCAGAAAGAAGTGATGGGGTAAGGTTATAGGAGGCTCTTAAGGTGGAATAAAGAAGACCCAGTACCACTTCTCAAACACTACTGGGCTGCGACATACTTGTGTTTTATATCAAATATGGGAGGAGTAATAGTAAGGTGTTTTGATAATCAAATAAGAAGCTCACACTAGATGTTTTCAAAGCCCCTCTCCTCACCCTCTTAGAGTTTCTCTTAAACAAACAAAAATGTCATTTTTTTTTTCTTTTACAATATGAAAGAACAGGAGGGCAGAACAGGTCCTGACTGGGGGGGGGGTACCACTGGGATGGGGAAAGGGCATAGGAGAGTAAATATGGCACAAATACTGTGTACACATGTGTGTAAATGGAAAAATGAGACCTGGTGAAAGGTTCCAGGAAGGCGGGAGAAGGGACAAAGGAGAACAGTGTGTATGTGGGGGGGTAGTGTAAGTGAATTCAAGTATGATATATTTGATATGTTGTAAGAACTTTTGTAAATGCCACAATGTACCCCAACCCAACATAACAACAACAACAACAACAAAAATCCGGAGCAAACAAACAAGAAAAAAAAAAAAAGAATGTTTGAATATTGCTAGGTTTCAGTGAAAATCTAAGGAAACCCCTTTCCTGGAATCTCTGTAGAATTGGTTCCCCACTGGAAAACACAGAATCTGGTGCCCTAAGTAAATGTCAGTCAGAGAAAACACTACTTTTGAAAACTGTTTGTTTTCCCCCCTTCTAAAGTTCATACTAACCAGAAACCATTCAGGAAAAAACATCAAGGTAGGATGCAACAAGCACTCTCACAGTTTGTTGGTAGACCAATGCATTATTCCAAGTGAGGGATTTCACCAGACAGGTGAAGATACTAAGGGAACAGGAAATCTAGGCTAGGACTTTGCCAACCAGACCCAGATAATTTATTAAAAGAAAACACGGTCTTAGGGGTTATTCTCCACCAAGATGAGCAACCCACCCTTCTGTCAATGTCCCTCAGTGGTTTTGACAGAGACCTGCAGGGCTGGATAGGTCTTTACTCTGAGTAGTATCACACAGCTCTGTGGTTTCCCAAATATGGTTGCACGGTGAAAATCTTTAATTCTAATTCCCAGTCTCATACCCAAAGAGTGTAGCCTAATTGTCTGGGGAGCAGCTTGGGCCTCTGAATTTTTTAAAAATCCCCCTGGGTGACTCTAATGTGTGGCCAGTTTTTCAGATTATTGGCATTTCTTCAGGTCATGAATTAAACCTTCCCCTTAACATTCATCACCTTACCACTTAGCCTTCCAGCCTATTGTTTGGTGGTGCTGTCAGTCTTCCTGACCCCCACCACCCAGTACACACCCCACAGGATGAGTGAATTTCACTCCACAGTCAGATTAGAACAACCCCAAAGTGGAATTCAAGAGGTGTCCTTGGTCAATATCAGGGTGAAGAAAGCGCCCTCCACCCAAAGGTGGAGCTGAGCAACTCCCTTCTTTGTTGTTTTGAGGACAGGATCTGACATGTCGTCCAGGCTGGCCTCCAACTCGCTCTTTAGCCCAGATCCTTTTTCTTGGGTCATTTACTTGCTGTTTTAGTCTCGGAGTAGCCTGGGAGACATGCACTCTGTCGTTCCCCACCCTAGCTAAACATCTGACAGCTCTCCCCCCCCCACCCCCCCCGCAGCCACAAGGCTCTGGGCGTGCTCTGTTGCTGGGCTCCCAGGGGCCTCTGAATTCCACGCCCCTGCCGCCCAGTTGCACCCAAGATCCACTCAAGCTAACTGACATTCCAGGGGAGCAAATCCTGTGCCACTTAGGCCTCTCCCCTCCCCTCTGTCGCCCGTTTTTTTCTTGTTGTTTACTCAGAAAGCGGTTATTGACATCTGCAGACCTGCCTCACTACCGGCCCCACCCAGCAGCGGAAAGCTGGGTCTGCAGCCCGGGAGCTCCTCCTCCTCCTCCGGCCCGAGCGGTCCTCTCCCCTAAGAGGCGGGTGTCACGCTGGGCCCCGCGTGGCGCCGCCTACGTCCTCCGCCCCACCCTTTGGTGACACAGAGCTCCAGCCCGCCCAGGGCGTCAATTAAGTCCACTTGCCGAACCGCTGGGCGCCGCTTGTCCGGCACCTTTCGAGCAACTCGGCGCCTGCTCGCTTCGGTTTCCTGAGGACGCGGCAGAGTCGCGGGTCCCCGTCCCTCGTGCGCCATGAGCCGCTCGCGCCCGAGCGTCCCCGCGGTGCTGCTGCTGCTGCTGCTGCTGTCGCTGCGCGCACCTGCCGTGCGGAGTGAGTGGGGCCGGGGATTCCGTGGGAACAGCTGGATCGGTCTCGGCGACTGCGCAGAGGCCTGGGGAACTGGGAGATGAGGCGTTTGGTCATCGGGCATTGTTCCCGTAATCTTCTCCACGGTTCAGACTACTGCTGATACGGTCCCTGGGACGGAAGGATCGCTGCTGTGCTGGATCCCAGCTCGCTTTGGAGACAGGTGTGGGGGGAGGCTGGGGAAGTAGCTGATTCCCATAATGGGTGTGACTTGTCAGCCCCCCCTCCCCCCCACACACAAAAAAATAGCTGACCACTCCCTTCTGCACAGAGTCCAGTCGTGTGCGGCAGTGGCGCTACCCACTGTGCCGTCTTATCTTGTGCCTAGCAACGGAACCAACCGGGACACTCAAAATTCTACCCCACTTGTTGGGGGAGGGGAGAGGAAGGCGCTTATTTGCTCTCCACTCATTTTATAATTAATTGACAAATGCACTCAAGTTCTCGGTAGCCAGCCCAGCAGTGTGCGGCGAAAGAAGGTTCCTGGGATTTGCAAGCAGTATTTCCCTCATGTCTGCATTTTCCTCCCTAGGTGACTGCGACCGCCCCCCAGAAGTACCTAATGCTCAGCCAGCTTTGGAAGGCCACACTACTTTTCCTGAGCAAAGCACAGTGACTTACAAATGCAATGAAGGCTTTGTAAAAGTTCCAAACAAGACAAACACAGTGATCTGCCTTTCCAGCAATCAGTGGTCAGAACTTGAAGAATTCTGTAACCGTAAGTGCTCCATTTGTTTTTAGAGAAGTTCTGGGAATGGAATGTGTCTCGTTAAGGTTATTTTTAATACCTAGTTGGTGTGAACGGTAATTGATAGTTTTCTAGCGTTATTAAACCCCAGGGTATACCATGTTGGCACCTCACACTCCAGCTAATTGAAGGCACTATTGCCCGGAGCAGGTCCTGCTTCTTCCTTAAGTTCTTCTTCGTGACACAGTTCCTTCTGAACGGACTAATAGAGAAACAGTAGGCGCTGTTTAGGGAGTAAGTGCTACAGGAATATGTTTGACAGTTTACCTTGGGACACATACCTATGTGATCTTTTAAATTCCATTTTGTAAAGTAGAACTTAGCAAACACAACAAGTTCTCTGTATTTACTTCAAAATCTGTTATACGTGTAGCCCTATGTTAGCGTTCAGATAGTCACGTGCCTTTAAGCAATTTTGTCGTTAATTGAACATGATGATGTACACTTTTACACAAACCTAGACAATACAGCTGACTGCACACCTGGGCTATGGGGTGTAGCCTAGTGCTCCGTGCTACAAATCCGTGCAACTGGTTCCACTGTACTGACTGCTGTGGGCCACTGTAACAGGCGAGTGAGTCAGAAGGGAGTGAAGTGAGTGAGAGCCTAGGACATTACTGTCCACTACTGGAGACCTTCTAAACACTGCACACTTTGACTACGCTAAATTTATTTATACTTTTTCTTCAATAATAAATTAAACTTAGCTTACTGTAACTTCTGTTTTTTATTATCGTATTTTTGTTGTACTGGGGGTACATTTTAACATTTACAAAAGTGCTTATAGTATATCTTAGTTAAACTCATCCCCTCCGTTGTTCTCTTTTATCTCTCCTCCCCCCCATTCTTTGAATAGTTTCAACAGGTCTCATTTTTCCATTTTCATACATGAGAACATACTATTTCTACCATATTCAACTTCCTACAACCTTTCCTTATATCCTCCCCCTCCCACTGGTACCAACCCCCAGCTGTAACTTCTTTATAAACTACTTAGTTTTTTTTTTTTTTAAACTTTTTGTTTGTTTCTTTGTTTTTGAGATCAGATTTTGCTCTGTTGTCCAGGCCAGCCTCCAATTTCTAAGCTCAAGCAGTCCTCCTGCCTCAGCCTTCCATGTATGCTGAGACTATAGGCCACTGTGCCCATCTTACTTTTTTTTTAACTTTTTGACTCTTTTGTAATAACACATAGCTTAGCCTCATGTGGTAGTTCATGCCTATAATCTCAGCTACTCAGGATGCCCCATCTCAACAAAAAAAGTTGGGCATGGGTGTACACCTGTCATCCCCTGCCAGAAAGTATAAATAGGAGGTTCGTGGACCAAGCCCACCTGCACAAAAAGCCCAAGGCCCTATCTCAAAAATAATCAAAGCACAAAAAGGGCTGGGGATATGGCTCAAGTGGTAAATCACCTGCCTAGCAAGGATAAGGCCCTCAGTTCAAACCCCAGTCCACCAAAATAAATAAATAATAAACAAACAAATAACTCGTTGGGTAGCTAATGCATAAATATTTTTAATCTTTATATTCTTTTTCCATAGGATTTTTCTATTTGAAATGTATTTACTTGCTTTTAAAACCTTTTTGTTAAAAACTAAGACACAACCTCACGCATTAGCCTAGGTCTACACAGGGTTGAGCACATCCATATCACTGTCTTCCATCTCTACATTTTGTCCCACTGGCAGGTCTTCGGGAGCAAAAGCCCTGAAGCTGTTATCTGTGATAGCAATACCTTTTTCTGGAACACCTCCTGAATAGCCAAAGGCTGTTTGACAATTAACTTTTTATTCCATAAATAGAAGGAGTATACTTTCAAATAACAATAAAAAGTATTGTACAGTAAATACACAGACTGGTAACATGCACTTATTTTCAATTATTATGTACTGTATATGACTGTACTTTCTTGTGTTTGGGCACAAGGTAAGTTTATTTCCACCAGCATCACCACAAATGCATGACAAATGTGTTTCACTGCATCATTACAATGGCTGTGACATCACTAGGCCATTGGAATTTTCCAACTCCATTATAACGATATGGTATGGGCCCCCATTGTATGTGGACCATCGTGGTACATGACTGAATGCAAATAAGGATAAAAACAAGACTTGATTCCTCCCTTTGGATGGTTTGAATCAATGCAAGATATAGTAAATACAGAAACTAATACAAATACTTTTTGAAACTGTGTGAAAGTTGGCTTTAACTTTTGTTTTTTGTCTATGCATGATAGAAGGCAGTCTAATGGAGTGCAAAAACTTTTGCACATGTATCATGTTTTAGAATTTGTAACTATGCCACGTTACTTCATGGAATCCTCCAAACAAGCCCTTGGATTAAGGGGGGAATCTTCTCATTTCCATTGAGGAAGCAGGAAACAGGAAACAAGAAATGATATCCTGAGATTAGTAGCTCTTATCCAGTAGAGCCAAGGTTCAAGCTTGCATCTATGGGCTACTAATCCAAAGTCCCTTCCCATACTCCATACCTCTCTAGATTCACATTTTGTTCACAGTTTATACATACTTTGCATAATTGACTCATCTGATTCTTGTCCCCAGGGATTGTTGTGGGCTTAAATGAATTACGATGTGTAAAACCTTAAGAAGTATTCAGTAAATATTAGCCACTGTCATCACTGTTGTCCATGATGTTAGCCCATGGATCTGGAAATACTCATTGTCATCTCTCCCTGTCCCACAGGGTGCTGTGTGATTCCTTAGGGCAGTATAAGAGAACTAATATTTTTTGAGTTCTAGAACTATACAAAGCAACTTAAGGGGCTTATTTGGGGGTTATGATTTTTGAAAAGTGAGGCTAGTGACATTTGCCTATGAAATCTACCTCACGGGTCTGGTACTAGGAAATGAAAGTATATCTGTGAATACACTTGATGTACTGCAAATGCCCTGGTGACATTTAAATACCAAGTATGTGTAAAGAAGTAAAGTAAAAGGGTGGTGGTTTAGTTTAGTTTTGTTTTTTGGTAGCACTGGGGTTTGAACTCAGGGCCTCACATTTGCCAGGCAGATGCTCTACTGCTTGAGCCACTCTGCCAGCCCAAGGGTGGTGGTTTAAAGACGAGATAATTAAACACACATTATAAAACAAGTTGATACTATTTTTCTGTTGTTGCTCTTGTCAATACTTTTAGGTAGCTGTGATGTTCCACCTGGGCTACTTTTTGCATCTCTCAGAAAGACTTATACCCAACAGAATTATTTCCCAGTGGGTTCTACTGTGGACTATGAGTGCCGACCAGGGTACAGAAGGGACCCTTCTCTATCAGGAACACTAACCTGCCTTCAGAATCTAGAATGGTCCAAACCAGATGAATTTTGTAAAAGTAAGTATAATTTTTAAAGTATTCCCAGTTATCTAGGGCTTGGAGGAAATATCTCTTGCTTCATCTGTACTAGAACTCTCTGTATGTATTACTTAGAATAATTCTTAAGAGAACCATGAGTCTTGTTTTATTTTAGACAAACTAAATACTCAAGTGGTAGGGGTACTTACTCACTCACAGATTTGATAGTTAGTTTGAGGCACCTAAAATAACTGCATATTCATGTTGCTCTTTTAAAACTTATCTCAAAATGAAAGCAGAGTTAGAGAAGTCTAAGGGTTAGAAATGTCAGTGGTTCAGATGATGAATTGTGTATATGTGCCTTATAATTATTTTTTTTCAGCTTTTCCGAGGTATAATTAACAAATAAAAATTGTGTCCATTCAAGGTATATAAAGTGATTAAATGACTTCCACAATCTAATTACTATATATGCCACATGGTTAATATTTTATGTGCCTAGTAATTTAATAAAAAAAATTTTAATTCTCTTTTAGAAAAATCATGTCCTAATCCTGGAGAAATAAAAAATGGTATCATCAATATAACAACTGACATATTATTTGGTTCAGCCATCTCATTCTCATGTAACACAGGGTAAGTGTTATCATGCTGAAATTCTGTATTTAATAAATGAAAAAAACAGATTAGGATTTCAGGTGGAGATTGTTTGATTTGTGACCAGTGTCCAGAGGCTGGCAGCAACTAAAACAAGCCTTCTTCTCAGAGGTCCTGAATCACAGACTCATTGTACCTAAACTTAGTAAAATGGGTCAAAAAAGGAAGATTTTATACCACCAGCTTCTCTCAGTTCTTAGATATCAATATATATGTAACTCAATAAAAATTTTAAATGTGATTAGTAAAGAAAAAATTGGGATATGTTGATGATACTTGCAGAAGTAACAATCCTTCAGGTGTTAAGTATGAATCCAAACATTAATTAACCCAATAATGAATTTGCATCTGATTTTTTTCTCTATGCAAACAAAATTGAGAGATATTGTAGGCTAAAATATGTATTCCTTCTAACCTAAGGTCTTTTATAGTTGTCTGTGTAGGAAAAAGGAACTCATTCATTGAGTACCATCAGTGTCTCAAATACAGTTGAAAACTCTCCATTTACTTTCTCACTTGATATTGCAAATTGAATTTTGTTCTCTCTCTCTCTGTCTCTCTGTCTCAGTCTCTGTCTCTCTCACTTTCTTTTCATGTTCTTTTTAAAATAAAAATGGCAGTATCACTTCTTTCTTCTATTAAACACAGATGTGGGTGGGTCACTGTAAACTTGGGGAAGTACTGTGAACCCATTAAATACAAGTACCTTCTATTCTTCTATGAAGCCTGGATAGATCTTTTAGGACTCAGAAATATAAAATATTTGACCATCTATAGCACTTAAAAATATTGTCTATATTTTTATATTTTTTAACACACAATATGCAAATACAAAAATGTCTTATATGTTCGCACCCTTTGACTGTTACCTTATAATTTTTTCTATTCTTTAACCTGCCTTATAATAGACACTGATCAGATATCATTTTGTCTCCATCTACTGGTATAGTATGATGGCATTCTGAATCCTGAGTTCAAACTTCAGTACTGCCAGAAAAAAAAAAAAGGTGGTATTCTGGAGAATTTGAGAAAAGTGAAAAATGTGTGACTGCACCTTAGGTTGTTTCTCTCCCCTATTGTTCTAGGTATAAATTAGTTGGCGCAGATTCTAGTTACTGTTTTCTTATGGGAAAGACTGTTGGGTGGAGTGAGCCATTGCCAACCTGCGTAGGTAAGTCCTTTTAAGAAATCTAGGCACCCAGGTTATGGGACTAAATAGTCAATAACACGTTATTTTCTGCTTGTTCAGAATCATCTACAGTGTGAATTTACTAGCTGTGCAGATAAACCATCGTTTCTGTGACTCAGTGCCTGTAACTATAGAATAAGAATTCAAAATAAACATAAGTTTATATTGTGCTCTGTCATATCTTATCTAATCATTCCTTCAGATAGTCAAGAATGTAAGGATTCCATGCCCCCCGCATCGTTATTTTGAGGGGGAAAGTTGATCTGAAGGCTTTGAACTTGCTAGACAGGCACTTTTCTACCTGAGCCCCATCCCAAACCCTTTTTGTTTTAGTTATTTTTCAGATAGGGTCTCAAATTTTTGCCTAGGCCAACCTCAGACATTATCCTACAACCTACGGTCTCCAATATAACTGGGGTTACAAGTCATGCCACCATGCCTAACTTTTTGTTGAGATGTGGTCTCACTGACTTTTTGCCCAGGCTGACCGCTATCCTGGATTCTCCTGATCTCCACCTTCCCAGGAGCTGGCTGTGATTATAGGGATACACTATCCCAACAATTTTACGGAAAAAACTACTATTAATCTGATAATCTATATGACTTGACCTCATATCCTAAAATAAGTGGAAGTAGAAAGCATTTGATCCAGGTCTCTTACTTCAAACCCATCAATTTTCTCAGATCCAGTGTGGGTAAATGCCTCTTTTTAGGGTTATAATTATCAACTGTGGTCATTAGTGTTTTAAGGATAGTATGTTTTTATCATTAGAGAAGTACAATCATTGATAAAGAAAAAACATGATTTCTGTGCTTGAGAATCTTAACTTCTCCAAAAGAAGACAGGACACAGAAACAATATCATAAATGGTTGTATCCAGTCAAACATATGTCTGTTAGAGACACAACTCTCAAAAATTGAGAGAAATAAATGTAGTATTTTATTTATTTATGTTTGTGGTGCTGGGCTAGGACCCAGATCCCCAAGCATGCTATGCTAAGCAAGTCCTCTGTCACTGAACTATGCCCTCAGCCTTGACTCAACATTTTAAGATGTGGGCTTTATCCCTCCTACTCCCCTCTCTTTCTCTACTTCACTTACACTTCTTCAAATGACTTCTGAAAACCCTAAAGTCAAAATTATTGCTAAGATCATTTTTGTGTGTTACAAGGAGCAGGAAATGAGGAGATTTAGTGTTATTTTTCCAGCATTTGTAGACGGTCACTTTACATTAGGCAGTGTATGGAGTATAGCATTCAAGGCTGACCATGGTCTAGCTGCATCTCCGTGTTTCTGTTTCACTGTCCTTACTAAGCTCTTCCCACTCAAGCTGTTGTACTTTTCCATACGCTTCATGCTTCTTCATGTTACCACTATTCCTTATGTTGCTGTCTCCACCTGGGATGTCCCTCAGGCCCTTGCCTTGGCTATTTTCTCTTCATTAAAAGTCAGATCTCCTGGTCCTTCAGGAAGATTTTCCAGTTTGGTTAATATCCTTCCTCTGTCTTTCCATACTCTTGCATACTTCTGTGATAACCCTCACATTTTGTATAGAAATAAGACCTTTGAATCTTTCACCATTAGATTCTGCATACCTTGTTCAGTGTTTCTGCACTTCTATGTAATAGAATAATGTCTAGAATGTGTTAAGTGCTCCAAAATATTTGTACTGAACTAATAGATGCTGTATGTAGTCTCTATTCAGCTGAACATGATGTCAATCAGAATAGCTTGTTTTTGCTTTAATAGCCTAAAAGTACTTTTAAATTTGCTACTGTTCTATGTACTTAAGAACATTTGATGTAATTCAATTTGATGCACGTGTGTGATTACATTGCTTTCCTGCTTTAATAGCTTCATGGTTCTAAAGAATGTGGACCCACGGAACTTTTTATTTGGGTAACTGCCAGGAAGAGGCCTCTTTTTTACAACATAAATAGACAACTGTGCTTGTATTTGTTTTAGAAACTGAGTGCTCAGTAAGATTTATTTGGGATAAAAGTCTCTGTTAGTCAATATATGCTAAAAAAATTTTACCCTAGAAGTGAAAGTGCAGAGTATGTATTGCATCCAGAATATGTGTACTTATTTCTCAAGCACAACCCTTGAATTCCCACTCCTTTCATTTGGTGTCATTTTCCTCCCTGGAATAGAGAACAGTGATCTTTTCCTAGTCTGACAAGGAAGAAGAGTACATGTTAGTTGGAAACTCAAGTTCCATTTCCTCCCTAAAGTCATCTCTGCCTGTCCTTCTTTTGCCTATAATATCCTGGCATTTCCTTCATCTAATAACAGTTTGACACATTACATGTAAACCTTACTATAATTTTTGCTTTATGTGATCTAAATCTTATTATCTTTATAGCTTACTCTCAGATTAGCATTCATGTTCTACAGCATTTGCCTTCAGAGCTCCAAATATACTATCTGTTGTTTAATAGGCATTTGTAAGCATCCTGTGTGAGTAATGCTGAGCTTAGGAAAATGGCAGATTTTGATTTTCAAATATCTTTAGCATGTTTTAGTCTTCCTTATTTGCAAAAGTGCAATACCAGTTTTACTTATTTCAACGATGCTGTCATTCTTTTTAAGAAATATTTTGTCCAGAACCACCACAAATTGAGAATGGAAGAATTCGCGAGGAAAGTGACACTTACAAATACAGACAGACGGTGACATATGAATGTTCTAAAGGCTTAACCCTGGTTGGAAGTAGCTCCATTTTTTGTGATGTAAAAGGCGAACAAGGAGAATGGAGTGGGTCACCACCTGAGTGCAAAGGTAATCAGTTTGCATCGTTGTATTTTTGCTTTATTCTTACCGTTAGGTCTGCATTTGGACTGTAGAGATTCTGTGGACTTTGAAGAATGAATGTCAACTATTGTTTTTATGAATATTTTCATTCTTTGGTCTGATTCTCAGATGGGTCTCTGGCCTCCGTACACACATGCAAAAAAGAATATAAAATATAGGTAAAAACTGAACAGTCATTTGAGACATGATAATAACTGTTCTAATGTGTTAGAAGAGAGAAAGGAAAGGAGAGAAAGTCAGAAGAAGGAAGATGGGTGGGGTAAGGAAGACGAAGAGAGGAAGAGAAATAGTCTAAAAGGTAATGACAGAATTATCCAAAACTGATGGAATACATTAGATAGCAGATTCAGGAAGCTTTGGGCTCTAAAACCCAAAAACCACTTTAAGGCATATCAAAGCAAAACTTTGGAAACTCAAAGCAATGAGAAAATGCCAAAAACAATATGACCTTTAGAGGAAAAACAAATTGATCACTGACTTCTCAGCCAAAAATGGCACAAGCCAAAAGACAATAAGAAGAAAATTTAAAATACAATAAGAAAATTACCACTCACCTACAATTCTGTGTACAATGAATGTATCCTTCAAAACTGAATGCAAAATAATGATGTACTCAGACAAACACTGAAGGAACTTATCACCAGTAGAACAGATCTCTTGAAAGACTAAGGAAAATCTTCAAGTAGAATGAAAACAATCCCATATCATACATGAAAATGCAAGAAGAAATGATGAAAACTGAGGGTTAATGAATACTGACTTTACAAAACAGTAAGATACAGTGACTTTACAGGGTTTGAATTATATGTATAATACAAACATATAATACCAATAAAGCAAAAGGTATAGGGGGGTAAATTCAATCTAAAAGTTAAAATGCAGGCTGGTGGAGTGGCTCAAGATTGCCTGCCTAGCAAGCATGAGGCCCCGAGTTCAAACCCCAGTCTCACCAAAAAAATAAAATAAAAAAAGTTAAAATGCTATAGCAATACTAAAAAATGGTAATAGTGATCATTTGTATAATTGACTTATAGTCTAATAATATTGTAATCTCTAGGATTGGCACAGAAGAATAGTAAAAATCATATATATAAAATACATATATTCTTTTACTACATATATGTGTGTATATATATATATACATATATTCTAATAAAGGAATAATATTTAATCCTAAAGTGAATAAGAGAAGGAAAACAGAAGAAACATAAAATAGATGGAATGCAAAAATAATAAAATAGTTGATATAAGCCCAACTACATGAGTAATTACATTAAGTGTAATTTGACTAAGGTTGTCAGGCTAGATTTTAAAAATAATACCTAACCTATTGAAATCACCATCAGAAGAGGAATAAGGTAAAAAGGAGAAAATGGAGGGGATGAACCAATTCATGATATGATACATATAAACACCAATATGTCCTAATGAAACTCTTGATACAGCTATCTTACACAAAAATGTCTTTTTTTTTTTTTTTTTTTCAAAAACAGAGGATAGGAAGGTAAAACAGGTCCTACCTGGGAGTTGGTACCAGTGGGAACAGGGAGACTATAAGGAGGGTGAATATGATAGAAATATTATGTACTCATGTATGATAATGAAAAAATGAGACCTGTTGAAACTAGTCTAAGAATGGGGTTGGGGATAAAGGAGAATGATGGAGAGGGTGAATTTAATTAAGATATATTGTAAGCACTTTTGTAAATGTCACAATGTTCCTCTAGTACAGCAATAATATAATAAAAAAACTAATTAAAAAAATAAAAATAAAACCTAACCCTTTACTATTTACAAGAGGTACAGTTGAATTATAAGAATCAGAACAGCTGAAAATAAAGAACAGAACAATATGCTATGCAAATACAAATAAAAATGGTGCAACTATATTAATATCAAAGCACACTTCAAGATCAGTTCATAATAAAATAATCTAAGTTCACAATCTGAGCTCTGTATGCACTTAAAAAATAGCTTCTATTGGTGTATAGCAAGAACAGACAGAAAAAAAAACCAGATGTATCCACAGTCAGAGTTGGAGCATTCCACATACCTATTTCCATAGCTAGTAAAGAAAAAAAAGCAGTGGGAAATTATTGAGAATACATGAGATCTGAGTTACAATTAAGGTTAAACAAATTTACACTTAAAAGCATAAACTCCATATTGACAGACAACCAATTTTTTTCAAGCACAGATGGGTCATTTACTAAAATTAACCACATTTGAGACTTACCTAAACTTCATAGCAGTTTAAACTGAAGTTCTTCAATAATAACAAAACTAGGAAATTAATTTTCAGGGATGGCAGCATGTTAGTCCTCTGTATCAAAAATAAGAATTAACTGGGTGGAAGAAAGAATAATTTTCATATGTGAGTATCTTAGAATGAAAAGTCCATCTAAAAACACTTACCCCAGTTACAATACCTACCATTGTTTGAGTGCCTGCTAAGTGCTGTGTTCCCTGCTAAATATTTTACTTGTGTTACCTCTTTAGTCCCCTATGACATAGATAAAGAAAACAGAAAATGAACATAGCTTGTGTGATGGACTGGCAGAAGAAACACTGGTTGATAGAATGATGTTGCTCCAGGGACAGGCACAGTGAAGTAACTTTCCTAAATTATTTCCTGTAATCTTTATAGTGTTGTCATGCAATCTGGGTTTTCTGTTTTTGCTCATTTGTTCTTAATTTTTATTAATTTTTAACGGACACATAATTATACAAATTTAAGGGTTACACAATGTGATGTTTTATGATGATTCAAGAGATGTAATTATTGTGTAATGATCAAGGATTAATTAGCATCGGTCTGCCCTGATGTTACACTCATTTTACAGATGAGAAAAGCAAAGTGTGGAAGGGTTAGAGAACTTGCAGGTGGTGCTTCTTAACATGCCTCTAAGGGGGAGTTTGTGAAAACAACCCAAAGGCAAAGGGGCTCTAAAGCATCACTGTGTTATTAGATTTGTGGTTCTCAAAATACATTTTTAATGGATATTTCCTATTATTTGTTATCTGGCCTAAAATCCAAAGAACAACTAAATGAATACATGCAAAGTTGACCACTTGGCACAAGAAGAAAAGGGAGTCATCTTTACTCAGCCCTACAAATAACTTTAGAAAAGAAGTGAAATGAATTCCCAACCTCACTAGCATGTCCTGAAAACATACCTATGCTGTGACTATCTCAGTGCGTCTACTGGTTGCGTCCTCTTGTTATTTGGTATTGGTGAGGGTGAAGGAAGACAAGTTTGGAGAGAAAAATAGAAATATGTCACAGAATGAGATCACTGCTGACTCCAACTTTGGTTTCCTTTTTTCACACAGAAAAGCACTTAAGCACCTCAATATTAAATTGGTACCAATCTACTTTAGTCACCTATAGGTAATAACAAATATCAAAGCAAAAATTATGTAGCATTTCAATTCCTTGGGAAATTGTTGGTGTGAGATAAAGAGAATAGCCATAAGCAAGTTGCCATGGTTAAAAAAGCCCAATTTGGACAGCAATATGTGGCTCATTTCTCCCCTTATGTTTTTTCCAACACAGGGAAATCTCCAGCTACCAAGCCTCCACCAACAGTTCAGAAACCTACCACAGTAAAAGTTCCAGGGACAAAAGTCCCACCAACGCCTCAGAAGCCTACCATGGTGAAAGTTCCAGGTACTCAAGTCCTGACAACTCCTCAGAAACCCACCACAGTATACATTTCAACTACAGAAGTCCCACCAACATCTCAGAATCCCACCAAAGTCAATGGTCCAGCTACAAGCATCTCACCAACTCTTCAGAAACCCACCACAGTAAATATTTCAGATACAGAAGTCCCACTAACTCCTCAGAAACCCACCATAATAAATGTTCCAGCTACAAAAGTCCTACCAACTTCTCAGAAACCCACCACAGTAAATATTTCAACTACAAGCATTCCAACAACTCCTCAGAAACCCACCACAGTAAATATTTCAACTACAAGCATTCCAACAACTGCTCAGAAACCCACCACAGTAAATATTTCAACTACAAGCATTCCAACAACTGCTCAGAAACCCACCACAGTAAATATTTCAACTACAAGCATTCCAACAACACCTCAGAATCCTACCAAAATAAATGTTTCAACTATGGAAGTCTCACCAACACTTCAGAAACCTATCACAGCAAACAGTTCAGCCACAAAGACCCCAATAACAGTTCAGACATCTCCCATATCAAATCTTCTATCTACAAAGACCCTACCAGCAACTCAAAATCCCATCATGACAAATGCTTCAACACAGACCATATCTACAACCCAAAGAATTACCACAGCAAAAGCTTCACTTAAACAGAGTCTTCCATCAACACAAAAGTCCACTACTTTACATGTCTCCATGACTAAGCATCTCCAAATTACACAACGACTCACTTCTGCTCATATTACAGCAACACAGCATACACCAGTTTCCAGGACATCTGTGGGTATTCATGTAACCAGAACATCTAATAAAGGGAAAGAAAATGCTGCTAAAGGTCAGTCGACACTGTTCAGGTTCCTGTGTATAGATCTCACATGCTATGAGAGAAATGGGAATTTAAGATTGAATAGTCTCTAATTTATTATAGCCATGTTTTTTTTTTTTTAAATAGTAATGCTTTTGACTCATGTACAGTCATTGACAAATACAAATAATAAGATGATATGGTGATTTTGAGTTTTATTAGAAACTTAGTTTTCTGATAAGTTTTGTTTTTGTTTTTTGAGACACCATGTAGATAAGCTGGCCTCAAACTCTCAATTCTCCTTTGCTTCAGCCTCCCAAGTGCTGGATTACTGGCAACCACCACCACGCCCAGCTTGGTACCTTCTTGATAGTAGATTAGATTGGCAGTTATTTACTCTCTAAGCTTTTCAAACTTATTTTTTGCCAGTAAGTCATAGAACCAAATTTAGGTGCCATTTGCTTTGTAGTCAGTGACTGGGGTAATTGAATTTTATATTGTTGACTCTGCACAACAGATACTGATGCTGCTGGCATTTATACTACTTAAGTAAATAATGTGTAATTGCACAAATTCATACTTAGTTATTTTAGTTATGGAAATTCAAGATGGTTTTGCACCTTCAAGTATAGTTGATTGATCTGTGTGTATGTATCAAATAATGAAAATTTAAGTTTTTTATCTTTATAATTCTTTTTTCTTCTTTTTGATTCTTAGATGCTGCCAATTTTTTATATGGTAAGTTCGGCTTTCAGACAGTTAAAAGAAATTGCTATCACTGTGGGATGTACAATCCATATTCCTGGAAAAGAATACTGTCTTTTAACTGTCTTAGGAAAACCATCAAAATGCAGTGCTTATGGGTACCTAAGAGAAAACGGGTGAACGCATTATATCAACATGTTTTGTGGACACCATCAGGTACTCGATATGTTCCTTTATATTCTCAGCCATGTTCTTGTTCCAAAGTAATTTTAGGACAACTCCAGATCATTTGGCCACTCAAGCAAGTAATGTTGCGTGCTCAGTGTCTTGATGCTTCATTTTAGGGACTGAAGAGCCCCAGGAAGGAAACAGTTATCAATACAGTTATCGAGTGTCTTACAATTAATCATAAACCACTCCTTGACCATTTTTAGATCTCTTTCCTATCCCCAATGAGACGAAGAGTTCTGCTCTTGATTACATCTTTTCCCTTTCTGTTAGCCATCTGAAGGAAAGTTCTCTTAAGAAATATTCTGTTGCTGTAGACATGAAACCAAAATCATATATCCGTGTTGCAATTTCTTCCAGCATTTGGTTGTCTTTTTCTTTGTCCATATTATTTGATATTATGTGTTAACAAGAAGATTAATATACTCCTAAAGAAGATGGAAAGAGAAATGTTTGTTAAGGAGAAAAACACCTAAGTGACACACTGATAAGTAATGTCCAATAGAAAATACACTTTGATTTTAAAAAGTGCTTATTTTTAAACCATATATATGTCCACATCTTATGCATGCATGAATTAGCCAGGAGACTATAAACCTGAAAACTAAAATTTTGCTATTACTGTTATTTTAGTTATTTTTTATCTTTTATCTTGAAAACTTCCAACATTTGGAATTCTCTTTGTTTATTCTATATTTTAAATAGAAATAAATATATTTTAAATGAAAAATATCTCATGATTTAATGTTCACAAAAGTGATGAGTTTAAAATAGAGGAGTTTTCCTCACCTGCCCAATGGCATCCAATGAAGGTTTGAAATGCTTATTTTTATGTTTTATTTATTTGTTTAGTTGATTGATTGGTTAATTGATCTACTTGCTTACTTACTTACTTATTTGCAGTGCTGGGCAGTGCTGGGGATCTTGAGGCATGCTTGGCAAAAGCTCTATCACGAGCCTACATTCCTAGACAAAAACTCTTATTTTTTTCTCTGCATTCTTGAGGTAGATGTCCTGCGATTTTTCTAGAAAACCCTTCTTGGAACTGTAATTCCATCTTGTACTCAAAAATAAGGGGAACTCCTTCCTTCTTAAATCAGACATAACAGCAGTGTGTGTGTGTGGTCTTGTGAAATATAAATAAACCTGGAAATTTCTTTATTTGTTAAATAAACAAATCATTTAATGAATCAGGTCATTATATCACCTTAATGGTAAGTAACTACTGCAAGGAATTGCTTTTATTGATTATACCACAATGTAAGTGAATGATGCAGATGTTAGAACTTTAGAAATAATTAGTTTTTTCCTATTTAATTCCACTGAGAACAAGATGATAGCAGATCTTCACAGAACTTTCTAATTTGCCTTGTAAATGACACTGGTGTTTTGAATTCTAAAGATAGTCTTCCACTGGCTCTGTGTCAGTGTTTCACAGTGTTTTTATTGCCTTCCCTCTGCCAATGGCTTCCCTAGACATTCTCATCCTCTCATGAGATTTTAATGCCACCCCTGCACTTTCAGTCTATTTCTATACTCTCTCTTGGTAGACATAGATAGATATATGTGTGTACCTTATACATATAAAAGGAAATATTTCCATCTGCCTGGAGTATCACTCACATTGAAAATATGTGTTCAATGTAGTTTTTTGTTGTTTTTGTGGTTGTTATTTTTAAAGACAGTGTCATAAATAAGAAGAAAGAGCTTTTGGGTAGGAGTCAGTCAGACCTTGATGTGAGTCTTGTTTTTTCATGTCGTAGTCACCCCAACCTATTAAATAAATCTCTGGGTCCCAGTTTTCTCACTTATGAGACAGAAATCATGATTCCTCTGTAAAGTCTTTGAAGCTTAATGTGATTGTGGATATGGAAACTCCTTGTGCCAAAGAAGTAAAAACAGGGCTAGGCACAGTGTTTCATACCTGTAATCATAGATATTTGGGAGGAAAGATCAGAAGAATTGTAAGTTTGAGGCCTGGTCAAAAAGTTAGCAAGACCCACTTCCAACAAACAAGCAGAGCATAGTGGCTGAGTGCCTATAATCCCAGATACACTGGAGGTGTAGGGAGGAGGATTGCAGGTCCCAGGTTGGCCTCAGGCAAAAATATGAGACCATATCCAAAAAATAACTAAATCATAAAAGGACTGGAGGCCTGGCTCAAGAGGTAGATCACCTTCCTAGCAAGCTCAAGCCCTGAGTTCAAACCCCAGAATCATAGCATGTGATCGTTAGTATTTTCCTAAGATAGATTTGTGACAGTTTGATCATTTCCCTCTTGCCACACCAAAGATTGAGAACTGGTTTTTACTCAGGTAATATTTGTGTGTTTTCTGTGTGGAAAGCACTGTGTTGAGATTTTTATATGTATTAGTTCATATGCTTCTCACAGAAATCCTAGAATGCAGCATTTCTACCCCATTTTTCAGCTGAGAGAACTGTGGTTTTGCCCAATTTATGATTTGCCCAAGGTCATAGGGATAGTAGGCAGTAAACAGGCAAGTCACTAATTTCTCTAGTATCAGGCACTTTAAAGGGTAAGTGCTTGTCCTACTGACAAGACAAGAGACTACACAACTCAAAATAGACCATCAAGGGAGCCTGGATTCTTCACTAATATTTCTTTATCCCTCCCTCAATTGCTGAATTCCTATATGTGACATTCACAAATCCCTTATGAGGATTAATAGGTCATTTGAAATAATCTTGAAGAGGTTAGAAAATACTCTGTGAAATACATAACTTTTTTCTGTATCTTTTATCACAGATGCATTTATTTATCTACATATTTACTTGGGTATGGCAGGTATTACAGACTAACCCAAATCCAAATGTACCTACAGGAGTCTTGTACCATAAGTAGTTAATTGAATCATAAGGTGCTGATCCAAGGGTGGTCATTATGTCTTATTACATGTCTCTACTGTGACATTAAATTCCATGGGACAATGACTATAGTTATCTGCCTGTAATTCAGATATTACAGGCAGATATTTTGCCACGTAAGTTTTCTCTGATAGGTTTAGTCTGGAAAAAGAAGTGTGTGAATTTCCTTTACTTAAAAACTTGGAAGTAATACAGAGACAGAAAATCCAGTGATCTTGACAAGACACTTCCAGAGCCCAGTGGCTGTCACTCTAAGGAAGCAGTGTTGAGTATGCATTGTAAATCTGAAAATTGCATTCTTTTCCCAATCACAAGTCTCCTTCTACATGTTCTTTGTTCTGGTCTAAGAAGTGTGATTAGAGATGAGAACCAAGCATACCCACACCTCCCATGGTTTCTCATCACACATGGTCTGCATTTCAGCTTTTGTGAGATGTTCAAGTTTGACTTTTCAAAGTGACTGAGCAAGCCCACATTGCTTCAGAAAAGTTGATAAACATCACTTAGTGAACACCAACTTTTGTAAATACAATTCTGACTTGGCTTTTGGAAAATAGAAATGATTCTGTCTATCTATCTATCTGTGTATCTACATACATACATACATACATAATACATCTATATGTATGTATAATTTACTTATAAAACTTTTTTTATTATCGTTGTACTGGGGGGTACATTGTGGCATTTACAGAAGTTCTTATAACATATCATAGCTGAATTCATCCCCTCCATCATTCTCCTTTATTCCCCCTCTATATAAAACATTTTTGTTGCCCAGGTTGGCCTCAAACTCTCTGTCCTCTTGCATCTGCCTCCTGAGTGCTAGGATTACAAAGAGGTGCTACTATGCCCAGCAATATTCTATATATTAAATATATATTTAATACATACAGGTATTTTTATTCAAAATATTATAAACAGTTAAAATCACCACCTGAACCTGGGCTAGAAGTAAGTTTTTCTGGGGCAATAAACTGTTTGACTTATCTTTTTATGGGTCTCATCTTACTTATCTGCGAAAATGATATCATTCAATGCAATTTAATGAGGATTTCCTGAACACTTTCTACTGTTTACCCAGTATTGTGCTGGTTACTGAGGACATCAAAGGAGATAATAGATGCCAAACTGCTTTGCAATGTTTTAAACACTATATTAAATGTGGCTTTACATAATAAGGAATCTTACTAAAATACTCTTTTCTTGGGAGAATCCCATTTTCTGTCTTATACTTTTCATTTATACCAAGCTGCATAAATCTTAAATTGATACTTCCTCACCTTTAGAGTGGTTTTCTGTAGATACCAAGTGAATTTTGAGATCATAAACTATTGCCTTTGTGCTTGATTTAGTTTTGTGTGTTTCTAATTTGGTAGGTAAGCTTTTTTAAAAAATTAATTTACTGACAACATACATATAATTTTCTTTCTCACATTTCTGTGTTTTGCTCTGATTTTCTGTTAAACCATCTACCTCCTCAAACATTTTTGGAGACTGTGTTGATCAGTGTTTTAGGAATAACTCTTTATTTCTGTCATGCTATTAGTCTGGATCACTTTTGAATTTTCTTTCTTTATTTTTATTCAAGTTCCAAATGCAATAATAAATATGGTGGGATTGATGGAAATTGGTGAGAGAAAGAGCAACTCAAAATTTAGAGTGAGTTATGATTCAGTGGAGTGCTTGGGGGTGAGTTAAATCGATCAGGTAAAATGCTGTAAATGCACACGTGTTGTGGAAATGGCTGGGTTTTAATCATGCATCCACACGACAGTACCACTGTGCAGCTTAATATTTTTCTGATTTGGAACCAAATGCAGTCATTACTCACACTACCTTCTGTTGCTTCTCTAGTATCATTTGTAATTTCCTTTGTAGTATAGATCAAAGGAATAGATTTTAGGAGCAGTAGGAGGTAGGACAGGGAGGAAAAAAGAATAAGGATGGTGAGAGATAAGAGTAAGAGCATGTAGAAAATCAAGGTTGTGGATGTAGCTTGGGGTAGAGTTTACCTAGCATGCATAAGGTCCTGAGTTCGATGCCCCTGCCCCCCAATAAACAAAAAAAGAATGAACAACAAAAAAACTATAACAGTTGGTTTGGTCATCAACTTATCTGGCCAGTTATTTGCCCTTATTCAGCTCAAAGTAAGTACATTTTGCCCTCCAGTCCCATCATAGTATAGGCACCTTTCCTGTTACAGGTTAATGCCTACACACTTGTTAACCCTACAGTGAACTAAATAAATGTCCTTCCCATTAACTATATGTAATTGTCACCTTTCTAAGACTCAATTTATTCATCTGCAGGTGAGCATGAATTCCAAGATATCTTCTAGCTCTGACATTATATAATTCAATTATCATTCTTGAATGATCAATACTCAAAACATTTAAAATTAATCATAGTTGTATTAGAATGCTTTAGACTCCTCAAACCTGTCAAAAAATTGTATTTGAGCACTGTGCTATTTTCAATATTTCTTTTTCTTTCAAAGAAGATAAGAAAATACCATGTCTTGCCCAACTTGTGGTCTAAGGATACCATATGCTATATGCAATTCGTGTTTCCTAGTCTTCCCTTAACTTGCCTCATAACCACTGTATACTGTCTTTGTAAAACTGTAGCAGGCATGTATTTGCTCAGGTTTCTGTAAACTGTGTGACCAAATTTCCCCCCCACCCCTAGTTATTCTAGTAGTTGGTATCATAGCTGTAGTCAAAATTTTCTGGAACTATGGACTTCTCAGGGTGAGCAGGAATTCTGATGATTTTTTAAAAATGCATTTTTAACTTTGTTTTTTTTTTTTACAGTAAGACATAATGCTGTATCAGTAAATCCCCCTTCAGCTATATTGTGTTTTTAAACATGGTGTCTCTTCATATCTTCTGTGTGTAATTACTATCCTCAAAGAACAGATTTTGTGTCTTTTTCCTTCCCAATATATTCTAGGGCAATAATCACATTTCAAAGGAAAATGTCTTGAAAGCCATGTTTTCTCTTTATGATGTATTAATCAATTCTCCCTTTTTTCTACTCTGTGTAATTTATGATAATGTACGTGTATTGCACAGAAGCAAACAAATCTAGGAAGTCAACCTCTAACATATTGTTAAATTGCCTGTGATGAAGTCTTTCTGCATTATATTTATTATTGAATAGCAGTCTAGCCAAACATAGCCCAGTGATTAAGAGGACAGGCTGTGGAGGCGACTGCTCAGTTTGAATCCTGGGTCTGCTGTTTAGGAGCTATGTGACTGAGTAACCTAACTTCTGGAAGCTTCAGTCTTTTCATTTGTAAAATGGAGAAAATACATCGACTTCATGGGCCTGTAGTGAGAATTAAATAAGTTGTCACCTGTAAGTCGTTAAAATATTGCTTGGTACACAGGAAACCTTCAGATGTCAAAACAGCAACAGAGAAAAAAAAGTCAGTCTTACTTGAAATAAGTGATCTGCATTGAATCCACATATTAAGTATAAATGTCATAGTTAGCTATGATGTGTACTGTAACCAAACTCAATGACTTACATTGACCCATTTTGCTTTCTAGATTTAGCTGTCCAGAAATCTAGTCTTTATATGAACTTGAGTTACTCCAAAGCTGCCCTATTGCCTGTTCATATTTTCCATTAATTAATAATATGACCACATTTTTTCTTTCTTTTTTGTCATCTCCATTTCATTTATTTTTTTTCTTTTATTATTGTTGTACTGGGGGTACATTGTAACATTTACAAAAGTTCTTACAGTATATCATAGTTGAATTCAGTCCTTCATCATTCTCCTTTACCCCTCCCTTCCCCCATTCCTGGAACAGTTTCAACAGGTCTCATTTTTCCATTTACGTACAGATCAACCACATTTTAATGCTGTTACTAAATTGCCTGTTTTAACTCTTTGGCTGGTGTAGGCCATTTCCTTTTTACTCTCTGTAACTTTTCTTTTTCCTTAAATTAAGAATAGTATTTAAGCCTATTATAAGATAAAGAATATAAACATTCTTTAAATCACTAAATTGTTCAATGTTTTGGTAAAAATATTTGATCACTAGGTACTGGAGTGGAGAGTAGGAAGGTTAGTAGTTTTTACAGATACTTCTTTAATATCAATAAACTATTTTAGGTGCTATACTAGCTAATGTAGTAAGATACAACTTTTTCAAACTTTTTGCATTTAGAGCCTAGCAAAAAATGAACAGTCCTTCGTCATACAAAGCGAATGAGGTTAGTATAGATGTCCCAGTAAAACTGTTCTGAAAACATTAAACCACCTCTCTTACATATTCTTTTGCATTTGTTCTAGTTCTGTTTTTATTGTTATTAATTTGTCAGATAATAAATGATCAACTTATAATTATCTGTTTACCAAGGCCAGTGCTCTGGAGCACCCTTGATCAGGAAGGGGTGTCATGCAGTATTTACCAGGTGCTTCCTCTCAGCTTTCATCAGTTTCTAGACATGCTTTGGTAATTTGCCATGATATTTTCAGTAGGATTAAAAGTGCTAGAATGTAGAAAGAGTAAATATTGGTTTTGAGGTGATTTTGGGGATTTTTTAATAGAGCTAATGGCTCAGTTTCTGAAATGGAAATCTATGCAGTCCTCTAATATAAACATAAAGAACAATCCACTTGCCTTGTTTTGGAAGTGTAAGCTGTCAAGGGTAAGTGTAAGATATCAAAACCAATACATATTTGGTTTTTAAAGTGTAAGCTGTAGAGAGTAAGAGATAACTTTATACATATTTGATTATTCTCTCAACTCTTACTTAAAATTGTGAGCTCAGTTTAGGACAGAGGGCACAGTTAATGTATGTGGAAGTGATAGTGTCACTTTATCTCGTGATCCAGTGTGTTGCTTCTTTTGGAGTATTGAGTTTGTACAGTCAACTTTAGTTTAAGGAAGAGGGTATAAGCAAATGTTGGATTTTGCTATTTTATTGAAAGTTAAATTATATAATTCAATTAGCATTTTCCTTCTCTACTAACTCCCTCTTTTTAACATACATGAGAACAATAAAGACAGTTGTTTCAAAGTTATGTTATACAGATTGAGTATGTCTGGTAATAAGTAAGACCTTCTGATAAATTACAAAAGGTATATCCTGTTTAGTTAAAAACTACATTTCTATATCTTACAAAATATCCATCAAGGCAGTTGGCCAAGGGTTTCTGCATACTTGAAAGTATAGTAGAATCTGAAGTCCCTATTGTTGTCACCATTGCTTATCTTTGTGGAATGAGTGACCAAAATTCCAAATCTCATTACTGTGACTATGTTCTTGACTCATCGACAATGTGGTTGTCATCTCACCCTGTGTTTGTACTCTGTTTATTGTAATAATTAGAAACTCTAATGCCACAAATATTTGGGAGGGGTAATGATGAAACACTGGGGTTGAATGAGAATGCATTCCTTATGACAACTTGCATTATGAGATGATTGGCCCATCTTGTGTTTGTTTCTCCTTTTGTTTGGTGACTTTTAGACTTTCTGATGTTAAAGAAATTTTGTAATATGCATTAAGATATCTTTTTATAAGTCATGTTTATAGATTGTCCGAGACAGGTTCTTGCTATGCAGCCCAGATTGG